TTCTATTAATGGGTGTTGTTGAATATCTTTTCATATATTTGAGAGCAATTTTTTACATATTCGTGTTCTTGATTTCTCTTTAAGTTATTTATTAAAAATCATTTGTGGGAGATTTTTACCCATTAATTAAATTTTGAACTACCTTTCTAAGTTATTGAGGGAGTGATATCATTATATATGTATTTTTATGGAAGGTCATAGGGAAGTTTTTAAAACACTTATACGGACAACATTTTTAATATATTCTATTTCCAGGTGTCTGAAATTTATGTCAGACTTAAAAGAACCTCCCACAACTCTTGATTAAAAATGATATCTCTTATTTTCTTTGAAACTTTGATAAAAATTACACTTGAAGATATATATATATGTATATATATATGTGTGTATATATATATATACACACACACATATGTGCTTTTAACTGCTTAGAGGGTTTAGTTCAATCTAGTTTTTTTAACTAAATATTCTTATTAAATACATGTATTTTTTATTTGTAAAATGCCTTTTTGGTATTTATGCCATGATACAATGCAAATCATAAATTCCAAACTATGTTTTTAATAGTTCTGGTGCTTGTAAAACAGCTATGTAAACAGGGTCACTGAGCACTCTTGATAGGAAAAGAATTATTGGATTGTAACAATCTCAGAGAAACGGGCCCTTACTAAGATCCTAAAAATATCTCTTTCCTAAAATTCTTCTGTTCCAGGCCAGAAGTGAAGTGAATGGTTAGAGTCTTTCTCACATGCATTTGGAGAAAATCATATAAGCTGAGTGATGTAAACTGGCATAAATTTCCCAAAGTGAAACAAGAATCTATATACTTTCTGCTTCTCTCTCTCTCTCTCTCTCATTCTCTCTCTCTTTTGACAGAAGATCTCAGCACTAGCCAGGAGCAGAAACAAACAACTTCATACATCTTAGTGAAACAAAAGTCTTCACGGGGCCACATGGAAAGACATCATGTCATTAGTTGATATCCTCAAGGTAGTCTAAGGTGAAGGAAGGAAGGCCACCATAGTTAGCATATTGTCTTGTCAATTATTAACTCCTAATGCTAAAATTTTAAGAAGAACATAGATTTTCATAATATACTCAACCTTGGTATAAAATTTGAATGGGGATAACTGTAGAGCAGCAGGATGTGCTCTGACAATGGGTCACTGGAGCCCAAGGAGCTGATTTTAGTTATCCTGCTGGCTGGTGGTATCCAGGGCTCATATGTGCACATGGGGTCCCATGGCAGAAATAATATCAATAGCCTAGATCCTGATTAATAGATAATACTCTTACAAAATAAACATTAGACTTAGATATTTTATTCATCTCTTTGCCTGCCAATAGGGTGCTAATATTACTTCTGGGTAACTTAAGAGTTTTCATTTTCTGGGTTTGCACAATTAGTGGCAAAGTGGTGACTGGAACACAAGGCTCCTGGGGAATCTGGATGGCTCAGTCAGTTAAGTGTCCAACTTCAGCTCAGGTCATGATCACACAGTCTGTGAGTTTGAGCCCCACATCAGTCTCTGTGCTGACAGCTCAGAGCCTGGAGTCTGCTTCAGATTCTATGTCTTCTCTCTCTCTGCACCTCCCCTGCTAATGCTCTGTATCTCTCTCTCTGTCTCTCAAAAATAAACATTAAAAAATTTTTAAAAAACCCACAAGACTCCTATTCTAGTGCTCTTTTTCTCCCTCAGTCTTTAAGGTGAATCTGCAAAAGCTGGAGAGCTCCAGTCATTCCAGAGACTTCTCCCAACACATAACTCCCGTGTTCTCATATAGCCAATGTCTAAGGTCGCCATTACAGTCAATCTGTTTTCCTATGTGGTCACTGGAGCAAGCCAGCTGGGCACTCCAGCAGGGGCCTGAATTCTCTGAAGCAGAGTTTACTTCAAAGGAACACTCCAAGATATTTCTTTCCTAGGAAATACTTTTTATCAGGCAACATGAAATTTAGGTATTTCCTGAAGAAATCTGTTCCACTTCCATAAATTGAATGACATCACTGGATTCCATTTCCCTCAAATGCTGACATTCACTTTAATGCTACTCAGCTGTGATCCGATAAAGATTCTCTACACAGGAGAGACAGGTGGACATAGGCTTGAAAATAAATGTTAAATCAGGCAACTGGGAGAATTTTAGAACCATCTCCCAGGCCAGGAGAATTAAAGTATTTGGGGAAATGATAAGACATAGAGATGATTTTATGTTTTCTGTTGTCCTCAAGTTCATGAATGATATATTTTCCAATATTGTGTGTATTCTTTCTTCTTTTCTCTTTTTGCAATTACTTAAATTTGGCAAAGAAAGATAATTGATATTCATAGATTTCCAGTTATCAGCCACTCAAAAAAAAAAAAAGATCTGTTATCTTTCTGAGTCAAGAAGGGACAAATTCTCTTTTGAATTTAATGCATGGCATATCTCATCAACAGTATGCTAAGCTAAAGTTAGGATCAAAAGATGAAGTCCTTCTTACAGCTCATGATGGTGATTGAAAAAAAATAAGTCAGATCCTAATTTTTCAATTATTCATATCCACCTCTGCTGTTCTAGCATGTACCCCACTGGTGACAGAAATTGTCTCTTAACAGAGTATCCCCACCATCTGTCCAACAATCCCCTGCCTTCAAGTCTAAGCTAGAGTGTAACTGCTCTGAAACAGTGATTTTCTGGGGCACTTGGGTGGCTCAGTTGGTTAAGAGCCCAACTCTTGGTTTTAGCTCAGGTCATGTGCTCGCAGTTCACGTGATAGAGCCTCCTTGGGATTCTCTCCCCCACCCCCCACCCCCATTTCTCCCTCTCTCAGAATAAATAAATAAACTTAAAAAAAATTAAAACAGTGGTTTTCGAATGGTAGCGTACATCACAGTCACCTGGGCAATTTCTAAAAACAGATTTTTGAGCCCTTCTTCTGGAGTTTCTAATCAGCAGGTCTGGGTGAGACCTGAGTAATTTTATTTTTAACAAATCCCCAAGGGATGTTAATTGGGCTGACTCCTGAAACAAACATTCAGAATTACTAGTCTAAAACATAAAACTAGCCACAATCCTGCAAAATGTCCTTCAGAGGCCCCTTAGCCCCCACAGTTTAAGTTCGCTAACACAGGTCACATGGCTTATCATCATCTGCGTCTTCCCAAATTCTTATGTTTGATCTCTAACATACCCTGCCTCACGTGGCATGTTCATAAAGGTTTAAAATCTGGCTGTTCAGGGTGTGGCTCACACACATGTATGTTATGTGTGTGTGTGTGTGTGTGTGTGTGCATGTGTGCCTACACAAGCATGAGATTATTTTACTGATAGAAACATGTAGACACAATTTGCAAATAACATACGATAACCTTTATTGTAAATGCCATGTAACCAATTGATTCTTATACAATGCTTTTGTTGATTTTTCACTGAATTCATTTATCGGTGATCACATGCAGTCTCTGTCACATACGCTTTTATTTAATTTTTAAAATAAATTTTAACAATCCTTTACAAATGTAAATTTTATTCTTAACTCACAGGCTCCAGGAAAACAGGCTTCAAGCCAGACTTGACCTACAGGCTGTAGTTCACAAATCCCTGGTCTAGGCAATATACATAACAATAAACCAAGCCCTAATTTATAGCATTTGCCCAAATCCCTGGCACAAATATACTCACCATGGTGGATTTCAAACTACCAAAGGGATGTCACTGAATATGAAATTAGGAAGAGATGTACTGTAGCAAACCCAATTTACAGTATTTTTACCACACAAATACAACAGATATAAAAAACCTCAAGAGTACATATAGATAGATGAATAGGTAGGTAGGTTGGTGGATAGATGGATAAATTGATATAACATAGTAAAATAATTAGGAATTAATGAATGCATTACTTTTAAAAATACTTCAGTGAATTATTAGTTTATTTAACTTAATTTTTAAAGTCCGTGTTTGCCATCCAGTTCACAAAATTCCTGAAAAATCTACCAGTTGGCCCTCATGCGTCAATATCAGCTGGTCCAACATACCATTGCCTGTCTATTGTTTCCAACCCGATAAATACTGGACTGTGATATCTCATGCCTGGCCTGGCCTGCCTTTCTAACCTTCGTCATCAGGCTAGTGCTCTTCTTCTTTCAAGACTCAAAAGTGTCTCTTTCCGGATGCCTTCCAGGTCTCCCTAGGTTGAGGCAAATACCCTCTTCCCAGTATCCCTGCAATGCCCCTCACTTCTCCCCCCAGTAGGTTTTACTCCCTTATGCCACAGCAGCTCATCTCTGGGTCTGGGTCTGCTACTGGACTGTATGCTTCTCCAACTCAGGAACTCTGTCTCAGCCATCTCTGTATGTTGATGGCTTGCTTAAAACAAAGTCCAGTACACAGCTGGGGCACAATACTTATTGAACTGAACTACTAGCCAAGATAGATAACTGCTGGCTGTCAGTTTGCAGAATTTTGTGCAATCTTCTTTGTGTTGTAAGTCTGGTGCATTTCATGGTGCCTCTTGTATAAGAAAGCAAGAAAGAACCAACTGTCCACATGTATTGTCAAAAGTTTGCACAGGAATGAAGGTTAAAAACAAGTGCATATCGTGTGGATTTCAGATTCCTTTGGATTTTGTTTACCTTTCTTTTTTTAAACCCAAGTATTACTGACAAATAATATTGTATTAGTATAATTTCTGTATCTCCCCAGCTATTCTCAAAATTGATTTTTGAAAACAGTCCAGCTGAGTGTAACTATGAGACTACACAGTGATCCAGGAAGGCTACAAGCAGAACACATCTATAAAAGTGAACAAGGAGATTTCCTGATTTTAAAATGCACACAATTTGCTAATGCCCCATTACTGCCAAGGCATGTACCCCACATCCATGGGTCAGATGCCTTCCTCGGACTCTTCCACTGAAGGCTGCCTGAGCAATTCTCTCCATTGCTCTTCTGTTGGCCAATTTTTACTGATACTGAGCAAGGGGCTTGGGGACCTGCGGGGAGAGTCAACTCACCTCATAGTCGATGTCTAGGGCATCGGCCTCACCCTTGGTGCGGAAATGCTGCGTGTGCTTGTCCACCGTGAAGTTCACCTGCTTGCCAACCCGCTCAATAAGGACTGAGTGCCAGTGCTGGTCATCCAGCAGACTGCCCAGGGTGGCCGAGGGTGGGCTGCTACTGAGCCGAGGTTTGCTGTCATCTGTGAAGGAGAGAGGAAGACGGGATGGCATCTGTGCACAAGGGCAGTCTTGAGTACGGGAACATTCTGCAAGCAATGCCAGCTCTATATCCTAACGGTCAACCATGATTCTCCCTCCACAGGCCCAGGACCGTGCTGTGCTTGTAAGGGAATAACAAGGTATGCCCACAGATTCAAAGAACAAAATCTAGGTCAGATGATAAACACATCCCCTTGTAGACATGAAAGGACACGTTTGCAGAATGTGAACAATTAAATAATAAAATAAACCATATCCTAATGGTCATCAATCATATCGAAAACAGAGGGTATCACAGTTAGAGATAATACACATACGTTGTATTTGAACGACTCTAGAATGAAGAAAACGAATCTTGAGTTATGCCTTGGAAGAAAAGTGAATTCTGGAGAAGTAAAGGGAAGGCAATGGGCACACTGAGTTAGGTTAAGTCTGCGGTCAGAGGCAACGATGAGGAAATCATCACATCCACTGCCATTTTCAAGTGCCTACTATATTATACAAACAGCACATAAGTAGGAAGCTTATACCCTTCATCTTTAATCCTCTTAAGGAAAATTATTATCTGAATTTCACAAATAAGAAACTTGAGGATCAGTGAGGTTAAGCACCCATGACCCAGAGATGTAGCCAGCGTTCAAATCCAGATCCACCTGAGCCTTTTTACTCTGACGATAGTATGGGTCATAGGCATTGATTCAGCCGAAATGGAGCTTGGACAGCCCTCAGGAGAGAGGGACCATGAGAGATTCCGGTGAAGAAGTATATTTTTCCATCAAGTTGGGCTTGTTCGCCCCCCATCACGTCCCTCCTCCAATTTTTATGGAAGTTCCTGCCAGTACCTTTTGTCCAAAAGATTACAGCATTTTTTCCTTAGAACAGCTCAGATTTAGCTAAATGAGCAGTTAAATGCAATTAATTATGACTTATATATAAACTTTCAAGTTTTTGAGTGTTTTATTATTCGGTCCCCTTAGAAACTGAAAGCTGAATGTCTTCCTCCTCTCTTCTAAGTCATGTTTTACCAGAATGCTGTAACAGCATGCTCAACAGTGTGGCATTAAGGGGGCAGGAGCTGCCATTTCCCCCGTAGGCTGCTCACTCCCACCTTCATTATGGCCCCAAGGCACTGCTTCCTTCATAACACTTGGTTGCTTCAAATGGGGGTGGTGGTGGGCATCAAATTTATTGTAATTGAAAAATGATAGGTGGTGCATTCATAGCTGACATTATTTCATTGATTTGTTCATTATCCCACGTTGTGACTTCTTGCCATTGGTGAAATTATGCTAACGATTAAAAGATATTTTTTTCTTTCTCCCTCCTCCCCTCACCTTCTCCATTCCTTCTTTTTTTCTCTCCTTCCTTCCTTTCTTCCTTCCTTCCTTCCTTCCTTCCTTCCTTCCTTCCTTCTCCCCTTCCTTACTCCCTCCGTTTCTTCCTTTCCTTCCATAAAAAGGCACTGATACCAGGGCACTTGGGTGGCTCAGTGGATTAAGCATCTGACTCTTGATTTCAGCTCAGATCATAATCTCATGGTTCATGGGATCAAGCCCAGGATTGGGTTTTGTGCTAATGGCACAGAGCCTGCTTAGGATTCTCTTTCTCCCTCTCTCTCTCTGCCCTTCCCTTACATGTCATGTGCTCACTTTCTCTCTTTCTCAAAAATAAATATATAAACATTAAAAAGAAAAAAGGCACTGATATCTACCTGTGCTGGCTATAGTGATATATAGTGGCATGTGATATAGAAAGGAGATAAAGGAGATACAGAGTTAAAAGGCTTATTTCCCTCCTTGAATGTCTTAATGTGGAGTCTCTCAATAAGTAAATTGATAAAAAGTATGCTGCCAGTATATAGCATTTAGTGCCAGGAGCCAAGCAAATGCAGGCTAGGCAGCTGTGAAGCTCCAATGGAGCAGTGACAAGTTTAAGATTTGGCTGGAAGAAGGAACACCCCCACACATCCAGGAGAAGCACGTGCCAAGGCTAGGAGATAGAGGGGAACGTGGTAGGGGAGTCCACGCAGCAGTGTGCCATGACCACACCAGCCTGGCTTATATCATCTGGGAATAGTGTGCTAGTGTGTGCGACATAACCATGCATTTCATTTACCTTTAAGGAATGGGCATGTGGTGAATTAGTAAATCAGAGATTACTAACTCAGATTAACATCTAAGAAAGCAATTTATTAATTTATTAGGAACTCAAATCACATTGAGGGTGAGAGAGGAGCATCTTGGAATTTTTGTTGTTGTTTGCTTACTCTTATATAAAAAAGATTATTTTGGCAGCTGTATGAGAATTTGATCAGAAGGCAAGTAAGACTGGCAGTAATCAGATGGGGGACCCAGGGGTTTAGGAAAAGAGAAGGCATAAAGGATGCATTTCCAAGTGTAATAAGGAGCTAACATGTGGCAACTTCACTTGGATATTTTCCCTTGGATATTGGAGGGGGAAGTAATAAAGGAAGAGTTCCCTAGGGATGACTTTTAGTTTAGTTTTGTTTTTTTTTTTTCTTGAGCAGATGCATGAAAAGTGGTACCAGTCATGAGATAAGAGCGAGAACATCTCCCTCTCTATCTTGCTCTTTTTCTCTCTCTCCCCATAACACACACACACGCGCGCGCACACACACACACACACACACACACCCTTTATTTTTAAAATAAAATTTTTCTAAAGGCTAATGAACTATTGAAGGAAACTTAGTGTGCCTTATAAACAGTTAGTTTCAGGTAATAAGCCACGTGAAATTAATAGTAGAGATTTCACTTTGGTATGTGCCTCAATTTTTTTCTTAAAAATTAAAAATGCATGATGTAACAATTATTTCTAAACAGTAAGTCACAAACATTAAACATTTGAAAATGTAAAGCCACTGCAAGTCACAGAATGAAAAAAAAAAAGGAAAAGGAACCATATCCTTTCTTCCTACTTATTTATTCTATGTGCTGCTTTTGGTGGGTTTTGGAGATATACTGAGTTCTTTAATAAAGCCAAGGATAATGATTAAAGCAAAGTATTTAAATATTTTTGTCTGTACTATTATTCCAGCTTCCAAAGGTGAATTTAATTACAAATGGGTCAAAGTGACTATATATATATTTTAACTTTCTGGATTCAGTAATGAATCTTCCTCCATCCTTGCCTCCATATGCTAATCTTCCATACATGTCCTATAAGGAATTGCTGTTATTAATGTCTTCTTTCTCCTTCCAGGAAAAACCTGAGGCATATGCAAGCCAGTGTGTGTGTATACACACACACACAATTTATTTATATATACACATATATATACTTTATATATATGCACTCTATGTATATATAACTTCTATGTACATATATACTTTATATAAACGCAATACATACACACATTAAATACATGCATATATAGCAATATATGCAAGACTATATACGCACATATGCACACATATACATATGCAAAGATATTCTTTATTTCTCCTCATTAATGTTTTACCTTAATGATGAAATACAGTGCACAACTTTTGTGTACCTTTTCATTTTCCCTTAATTTATCCTCGGAGTTTTCTTACATCAGTATATAAAAAGCTGCCTCATTCTTTTCTGCAGCCGCATAGCATTCCATTGAATGATATATGTGATATGCATTTTAACCAGTTTCCTATGAATAAATGTTGAAGCAGTCTCTCTATTATTGATACTTAAAACTTCTCAAATACCTTGTATGTAGACAGCACTTTGGATGTGTGTAGACAGCACTTTGGATTTCTGTAACATGCATTCTTAGGTAAGGATCTGGTGGTCAGAAGTTTTCACATATGCAATTTTGACAGGTACTGTCGAACTGTCCTCTAGGAAAGTTGTGACAATTCAAACTCCTACCAGCAAGTTATGAGAGGGATTCTTCTGCACAGGCTTGTCAAGAAACTATGTTCAAGCTTTTGGAATTCTGCCTAATAGACAAAACCAGTATATTTCTGAGCAGCTTTAATATACATTTCCCTTAAAGTGAATGATTTTGAAAATATTTTCATTTTTAATTCCTTTTTATGAACTATTTCCTCACATTTCTTGCCTATTTCTTGTCAAATTCCTTATCAATTTGTATTTAGTCCATTGTCTGTAATGTGAATGATGCCAATACCTTGTTGCTGTTCTTTGTTTTTTGCTTGCACTTTAAATTTTTTTTCTATTTTTAAACTTTTTTTGTCATTCAGACATTCTTGGTTGAAAAAGCCACCATTTTCTTTTTCATTTATGGCTTGTTTTATGTATTTTTGTTATACTTTAATGCCCTTCCATTTTGAGATCATTAAAGAATTCTCCCATTTTTTCCACTACATTTCATTTGAATTTTATTCCGATGCATATGACATAAGGTAGAGTTCCTCCTTTATTTTATCTTCTTAAAGCGTATTTTAATTTATTTTAAGAGATAGACAGCAAGCAGGGGAAGGGCAGAGAGAGAGAGAGAGAGAGAGAGCAAGAGAGCCAAGTAGGCTCCCCTGTGTCAGTGCAGAGCCAGATGCATGGCTCGAACTCACAAACATGAGATCATGACCTGAGCTGAAACCAAAAGTCAGAAGCTTAACTGACTGAGCCACCCAGCACCCCCTATTTTGTCTTTTTAAATAGCTAACTATATGTCCCTGATCCGTTGTTTTAAAATCCTTAGGTGATTTTTTTTTTTTTAAGTAAGCCAGGTGTACAACTTCCAAATGTAATTAATACTAAATTGGATGAGTTGATATGTTACCCTGATTGGATCAAGGTTCTCTGGGCATGTATATTGGGATCTTTAAATTCTGAAACTTCAAGGAGTAAATTTCCAAGTTGGCTGCTACCACCATAGTCTACCTACTTCTATCCACTGGAACCACCATCACCACCACTGTCATGCCTCAGAACACCTGGGAAGAGGAAGTAGCTTCTGTAATCCCATCAGTACATACCCTCATCAACATTAAAGTCAGCCTTCCTCTCCCACACCCTAATC